GACTGGGATCATATATGAGACGCGAATGGGCAACCAACCTCAGTAGTCGATGTGTCCCCGTCCGAAGGCCCTGGGGGTCTCGGATGGGCTACTTGGCTCCGCGGGCAGCGTGTCCCCAACCGGGTACCACTCAAGAACTTAGTTGGGTGACCAGGCTCCGCGGTCGGGGTGTCCTCACTCGAGTGCCGCGGCCCTCTCAGAGCTTCCCCATGGCAGCCAAGGCATTCCCGACTAGGTGCGCATCCAGAGGCAGTTACAAGCAGATTTCGCGGAGACATCCTTATTTATTTGAAGTAGTTTCCTTTGTTAGCTTAGACAGTTATGGTATGGAGTAGGTCGGATTGCATATCAGAATTGGATCTACGTCAGCCCTACTTCCCATATAGCATTGACTCTACGTCAGCCCTACTTTCGTTGTAAGAATCGTGTACTCTATTATAAATATCCCCAGGATTACTATGTAAAGGGACGGTAATTCTAGCACTCTAGCGGCCGAACCTCTAGAGAAATAATACCGCATTATTCTCTCTATCACTTCCATCTTTCACTCATTTAAACCCTTGTTTTACGTATTTTACGGTAGTGTTGGCCCGTCGACCGGCATCCAAAAGCAGTAAAACCAACATTGGCGCCGTCCGTGGGGATCGATACTAAGGGTCCCGTCTCTAAGAGCATCCACATTTGTTGGGGAGAATAGGGGGATAATGTAAGAGTGATTAGGAAAGAGAAGATGGGAGGGGAGAGAAAAAAAAAGAAAAAAAAAAGGAAAATTAAATTTAAAAAAAAAAATAAAAAATCAGACTGTCAGGCGCGCCTACCTCTCGGCGCGCCTGACGCGCCCGTCATGCGCACTGGTGACAGCCTCGCGTGGCTGTCACCAGTGGTGGCTTTTGTGGTGGGGCCCACCATTTCTGCATTATCCCTTCATTTGCAGACCAATTATTTCTCACATTATCTCTTCCCCACATTAGTTATTATCTTGGGTGGGGAGAATTCTTTCTGAAATATCTCTCTATTATCCACAAATGTGGATGCTCTAAGCTTTGCTAATGGCCCGAACGCGACGCAGCAACCGGAACAACGGACAGAAAATCGTGACCCTACCAACTAACAGCTACGTTGTTGTTATCGCCAACGCGGCAGAATCTCCGGCTGGTAGTCGTGCATCCGTTGGAGACCTAAGGGAACAACTAAGTCGCCGCACTCATGGCGAACAGTCGACTGCACGTATCGAGCGTACTGTCATGCCGACTCACGAGTCACCAAGGATCAACCAGCCACCACCTGTCGCTCAGGCCCAAGCCAACTTCGTGGAGTTGTTGGTGCAAGCCTTCAATGCATATGTGCGTGGAAGGGAATAGGGTCCCCCCCGCCGCGAGCCAGCAACCTGCGCGGTCGGTTCCAGTAAAAAATCGTAACGAAGTTTCTGAGGATTCAAGGCGCTCAAAAGGGCACTCACTCGGGAATCTACGTGCCGCCCCCTTGGTGCATTCCCCCACCCTCTCCGCCAGAGGAGGGAGAGAACAGCTTGAGGGAGAGCCGCCCCGAGCCGTCATTCAAAGGAGGATAGCTGCCCGACACAAGCGAGAAGCCGTCGAAGGCATGGGGGAATCGTCCATGATCCCAGAACAACCCAACGCAGAGATGGTCGACTTGGCCACCGCGGTCCGGGAGCTTTGGCAAAAGATTGAGGAAAAAGACAGGCCACTGACTGACAGCTTATTGACTGCCTCTCCCTTCTCGACGGAGGTGTAGGCTTACAGGCGCCGGCGGGTTTCAAGCTGCTCGACCATCCCACCTATGATGGGACTAAGACCCGCGTGACCACGTCATTAGCTTCCAGGTTAAAATGCAGGTGATCGGGGCAGACGCCCCGATGATCTGCCGAGCATTCTTCGCTACCTTAGTCGGGCCCGCTGTAACACCCCCTTTTTCTTAACTTTAAAACTTAAATTTAAGTAGTCTAAAAAACCAAAAACAAGGGAATAAAGATGAACTAGGATATATAAATATAATTCCCAAAATATACTAAGAGAGTGTCACCGCCACAGTTACCCACCCTCAAGTAACTGCACAGGCTAAAGCTACAGAAATACTAGAGTCACAACTCAAAACAATAACAGTAAGGGGTATGCAAACCCCGGTGTCTAAGCACAAACCAAAAAGCTAGCTACATCAATATCAACATCAAACACCAAAGATAAGGAAGGATACTAAGGCTAGCATCTACTAAGTCCTAGAGCTACACGCTAACACTATAAAAGCACGCTCTCATCATGCATCCAATCCACTTGAAAGGGGTTATAAAAACACATAGGAAAATAAACCCGTTAGCATAAAAATACTAAGTATAAAATCACTCAACCTTGTAACATAAGTATAGATATAGATGTTGGAAAACTGTTGACATTCAAGTACAACGAGTATACACATAGTGTAACACCCCCGATTTTTCAACACATTTAAAACTTAAATTCAAAGGTAAGCATCTAATCATCAAGATAAACAACAGCGGAAGCTTAATTAAAAACCGAGGAGATGTTATGCCACACTTATCTCAAACATAGGTGCACAGGCGGAAAACTATCAAGTCAACAAAACAGAAAACATCTAAGCACACAGGCCGCTAAACTAGGCTCACAGGCCAACAAAAGGTAACGTCTAAACATGGTAGCTACTCTATCTAGCGTCCACATCTAGCGCGCTCGGCACCTACTCAAAACGTGTAAAACATGGGGATAACACCCGGTCAGCGAATATTGCTGGTAACCCATCAATACGCGTTAAATAACATATATAGATAGATATAATCAAAACCATTTGGAACGGGAATACAATATATATCATTTTAAAACCAAAGAGAGAAGTCAACACCAAAGACTCATCAATCACTCTCAATAGAAACGAGAATCATCACCCTCACAATAACAACAAGACCACAAACATGAGAAACAACACAACTCAGGATGCATTTTACTGATCACAAAGTAGAATACATCACAACATGCTCATAAGCAAGGAATTCACAATCACACGGTGACAACTACATGTCACAGTAACAACTACATGTCACAAGTATCATAGTTCCAAGTTCCAACCTTATGCCCTGTTCCAACCTTATGGCTACCCCGACCTTATAACAGTTCCAACTGTTACCTCCTAGTGCCACCCTGTACTTCTGAGTCCAGCCTTTTACCTCCGGGACCGTCGTCCCCCCTCCAACAACCTCCAACATAACCGCCGAACTCTCAGTACACGAGGGTACCATTAATTTCATTCACAGAACCTCCAACATGTGAGCAAAGCTCAGATAACACACCACCAATCTCAATCATAGTCACACAAGGTCATCATCATTACCAAGAGGACTAAGGCTCAACAATAACCTCAATCAAGTATCAATCAAATGGTACAACGATTTGTATACGTTCATATCATAGAAATCAATCAAGAGATCACAATAAAGACATGAGACCATACTCAACAACAAAGGATCACAATCCAATACCAAATGATTGTCAATACAAGTTGTCAATCCCAATAAGAAGTAACAAACCACACATACTAGCATTTCAATATCAAACTAGCATGCTTAACAAACGGGTAAACCAAAAGTAATTCCAAAGAACATTCAAGACTCACATTAGCCCAACGAATCACAATGTTGGACGCTTAGCACGATTTAAGACACCAAATTCTACATGGATTCCTAACATACCGTTCTAGACATACGAAACATCAAGAAGACTCACAAATAGCCCATTAAATCAACAACGGGAGGTCAAAACATCAATACTGAGAAGAAAGAATCACGGGGAACAAATCCCCGCACATCACCAAAATGGTACCCCGTGGGTGGGGCCACGGGTAGACCTCCACCTGCGGGTACATACCCACGAAGCCACCGGTTCCCTGCGGGTGGGGCGACAGGTAGGCCTCTGCCCGCCGTTCCGCCCGCGGGTACGTACCTGTACTCCAAAATATCCCTTTGGGGATTTTCAACAACAAGGCCAAGTTCAAGTCCAAAACACCCAAAATCTCACACACAACAACAATATGACTTGAACCCAAGAAATAGCCAAGCAATGGCATTCAAGAACCCTAAGAACAAGCTCTAAACATGCATCACCACAAGATAATGCATCAAATCTCACAAATCAACACCAGAATCACAAGTAGAAGCCAAGAATCATCATATAAGTAAGAAAATAGGTTTTTTAAAGCATGGGTTACCTTTGTAGCCTAACAACTTCCGCTTTTCACCCTTAAAAGCCTTTCCTAGAGCTCCTCTTCTACACCAACTTCTTACACATAACAAAACACAACAAAGATCCTAACTTTAGAATAAAAGACACCTAAAAGGAGGTTAGAAACAACAAAAAGCTAAGGATCTTACACTCCCCTATGCTCAAGATGAAGAAAGTAGGAATCTTCGGGAGAAAATCTTGCAAGACTTGGATGCTCAATTTCTAGCTTGGAGAAGAAGCTAAATCATTTTAGAGAGAGGCTAGAGTTTTTGTGTTTTAGGTTGAAGGGTGAATGAAATGAGAGTGTCTTACTAGGTTAGCTTGAATCACAATTCTTAAGTAGAAAGACATTCCTACCCTTACTAATGTTGGAAAGACAAGGGAACAAGGGCACAACTCAAGAAGCACAAGATACAACCCTTTGACTTAAGTGACTAGTCAAAATCTAGTCCTTCGACTATTAAATTTCAGGATTTTAGAAATAGATTAGCAATATTAATCTCCGATTAGTGTTTGGATTTACGAGGTGTCACATCCTCTCCCCCTAACAAGAAGCTTCGTCCCCGAAGCTTGGGCACGACAAGTTCAATCAAATGGGTAGTAACGAATCAAAATGTGACAAAAAGGAAAGCAAAATATCATTAAACAAGACTTCAAGGATCCAACAGGTGTAAGGTTTGCAAGAATCAAGAAAATGCAAGGTTTCAAGATAACAGGGAAAACATCTCAAGCACAAAACTACTAAAAGATCAACTACCCAACACCCGGCTTAAGACTACACACCAAGAAAGGAAACGCGGGGTACCTGAGGTAAACAGATCCGGATAACACTCTCATGACGGACTCTAACTCCCAGGTTGCCTCGTCTACTCCATGATGAGACCACCACACCTTTACCATCTTTACCGACTTCCTGCGGGTCTCTCTCGTTTTGAAATCCAAAATCCGGAGCAGTCTCTCCTCATAAGACATAGTACCGTCAAGAGGTACCACTTCTGACGAAATCACATGAGAAGGGTCGTGCACATACTTCTTCAACTGGAACACATGAAAAACATTGTGCACCCTCTCCAACTCCATTGGCAGTGCCAGACGATAAGCTAGGTTCCCTATCTTCTCGAGAATCTCATAGGGGCAATAAACCGGGGGCTTAGCTTGCCTTTCTTTCCGAATCTCATTACTCCCCGGGTGGGAGAAACCTTCAACCATACTTTGTTCCCAACTGCGAACTCTGCCTGTTTCCTTCCTAAATCCGCATAGGACTTTTGCCGATCCTGTGCCATTTTCATTATCCCTTGGATATGCTTGATTTCTCTACGGTATCATGCAAATATTGTGGTCCCAACATCACCGGGTTGACCAAATTCTCCCAACATAACGGGCTTCGGCATTTCTGACCATAGAGCGCTTCGTAAGGTGCCATCTGTATGCTTGCATGGTAACTGTTATTGTAGGAGAACTCAATCATGTCCAAGTGCTCCTCCCACGAGCCTTGGAAATCCAACATGCACACCCTTAGCATATCTTCGATTGTCGGGATGGTTCTCTCGGTTTGTCCATCGGTGGCTGGGTGAAAGGCAGTGCTCAGATTCAACTTCGTTCCCAAAGCAGCTTGCAAAGACTTCCAGAATTGAGGTAGAAACCTAGGATCTCGGTCAGAGACAATATCCCGGGGTACTCTGTAACACCCCCAAATTTTAAGTACATAAACTAAAGAATTAAAGGAAAATATTTCTCAAAATATGCGGAAGCTAAACCAACAACACAGGGTGTTATGCCACACTTGGGTTATTCTAAACCCAAATGCACAGGCTACAAAGTTTCTATCTATAATCCAAATACAAGGTTGAATAATCCGATTACAACTAACTATAAAACAGTCTAGGTTTAATCCATTCAACTATACCATAAGCAATTCTAGGATACAAATTCTATTACAAGGCATACGAACTCTACACCGCGCTCTCAAAGCAAGCCACTAATTTCATCTCCTGAAAACAAAAGATTTAGGAAAAACACAAACAACAGAATTAGCATAAAATGCTAAGTAAGCTCTACTCCGCCCTGTAAAATAAATACATTTATAATTTTCAAAATAGATAAACTTTGTAAATAGGTTTTGAAATCACTTCAGTAATATAGTTTGACTCAATACCAAAGGTAAGTAGGTAAATCATTTTCTAAGATAATTCTCCCAAAATGAAACAGGCACCAATGCCATAACACACTCCACTCAAAATAGCATTAGGTTTCATATTAGTAATAAGGTCCCCAAAATAGTAACATTCACTCTTTCTAAAACAATACAACTGCCCTATGAATCATTCATTCATTTCCCAAAATAATAAGTATGGAGGATTTAGAAATATCACTTCTCAATATAAAACATCTCAATATGAGTATCATTTCAAATCGTAATTTTCCAAAGCATAGTAAACATATACAAGTATATATGGAGGAATTCACAATAGCATACTATATATCTCTTCAAGTCATCATATCAAGATATAGATATCTCTCATGTCATTCTCAAAAACATATATGTCAATAATAATGTATAGGGAGGAATTCAAATCATATTTCTCAAATCACTTTTCCAAGTATCACATATCCATATACTCTCATATATATATAAGGTGAAAGGGACGAAGGGTCTTAGATCAACTAAGCCCTAGTGACACGGTAATCCACTCTACCGGACACTCCACAAGTTTGTCCCTTTCGTGGGATAAAGGACTAAAACTTTAAGTGTGCACACCCCCTAAAGGGCTTCCCCACCCAAAAGAGTAGTAACTAGTCCAAGTAGCCCAGGATGTTTTCTACCAGGCTACTCCACATATAATAGGTATCCAGGATGTTTTCTACCGAATACAATCTCATCAAAATAGGACCGGAGTCCACACTAGAACCAAAGTCCACCAATCAACAACCATCCATATCCACATATCCTCCAAAATAAATACATTTTTATACATCCTCCAAAAATAAAAATAGTTATCTAAAATGAGTTTCCACAAACATTCCCATTTGATTGTACACTATTCAAATCATAGTTTTCAAATAACATGGGGTATATATAACCCATCAATATCCATACTTTCCAAAATAGTTTTCATCCTCCAAAAAGAATATAATAGTATGCAAAATAATACATTTTCTCTAATTTACACATTTCTTCCAAAAAGATAGTCGTTTAAAAATAAATATAACTCCATGTCCTCCAATATAAACATAGTTTCACTCATTTCAATATACTTAGGTTTTCAACCACAATTTCTCAAAGTATGAGTTTCATCGAACACTATAGCAATATAAATATATATCACAAAATTATAAGTTTCCCAATACTCAAATCAATCTCAATTATAATAGGTTTTCAATATGTAAAACATTTAGGCACACCATAGATTATACACCTTTTAAAAAAATATATAGTTTCAACCCATATAGATCACAAGTCAACCCCAAAATAATCATATTTTGCTATTTATCACATTTTGAAACTAGAACACATTTTAAAAATAATTTAAGTACATAACTCAAATAAGTAGCACATTTAATAGGGCAAAGTAATTTAAACGTACATAGAAACTTACCTCAAAGCTAAAGCTCCAAAAACAAACGCTCAACCCAGGCTCAACTCATAAACTGGCCACTTTAACAAAGAACCTGAGAACCAAATCAAACCTTTACTCATAAGTAAAGCTATCACTAATAGATCATTAATGTCCCATTTATCCTATAATTATTCCGATACAGACAATAATTCTAATATGACCATCCACTCATTAAACCAAATATTATCTATAACCATCATCCATAATCCTAATTATTAGTACAACCAATCATTAATATCAGCTAATCATGCCATCAATTATCATTACCCAACATCAATAATCATTAGCAACTCCATCATTCCATTAATCATATCCAATCAACATCATGCCTTCATCATCATATTATCATTAATGATAATCGCTACCTAACAATTATGTCATCATTCATAATTCATAATTAACAATTAATCATTCCTACTTAGCCATACTCTGTACCTGATTCATAATCTTTGTACCATCATCATTGACAACTAAATTTCATTAATAATCTTTAATCAGTATTAAGCTTTATCATTAGTCCACAACTACTGTCAAGTAATCATTATTCAATTAATCACCCCCATTAGCTAGCAATCACCTCTTAATCCTTTGTAGTCCATAATCAAACTCCATTAAATCATAATTCCTTCGTTAACAATCCATAACACATGTATCATCATAACATTCAAGCATCACCAACAGAGTCTCATAACAATCCATATTATATTTCACCAAATCAAAACTTAAGCTCACCCTTTCGAAGTCACTGCTAAGCTGCCGGAAGCTCCGTTCGGCCGTCCAAGCTACGCCAGAAGGTCAACACTGCCGGAGGAAGAAGAAGCCTGCTCAACTACCGCCAGACTGCCATTTATCGTCAGGAGATGGACCAAACACTGGAGGAGTTCGTCGGTCTACTTGTCTCGCCAGAAGGAGAGATTCGCCGAAGAAAGGTCACGATACTGCTGTTCGCGCGAAGAACAGGGGAACCACTGGACTACCGCCACAACTCCAACCACCGTCAGCTGCTGCCCGCCGAGGGAACCCCCGCCTCTCTGCTTGCTATGCCGGAGGAGCTTGCCAGTCACGGCCACCGTCCACTTTTGTGGCTGTAAGTTGTCACCGAGGGAGAAGAAAGAGAGAATGGCGTGAGAGGTGGCGGTTGATTTTGGGTGGGGAGGAAATGAAAATTTTCTATTTATAACTAGGGTTTGGATTTCTAAAAAAAATAATCATTTATATATATATATATATATATATATATATATATATATCAATCGTTATGCGTTGGACCCGTGTCCAGCATGCTTGCTTGACACGGGAACAGTGCCTGTTATCTCCTTTTTTTTTTTAATTTCAGACCGCTTCGTTATAGGAGTATATGTTCATAATTTTATTACTATATGTTAATAACTGTACATTCATAACTCTATAACTGTACATTCATAACTCCATAACTGTACATTCATAACTCCATAACTGTACATTCATAACTCCATAAGTGTACATTCATAATTTTCGAAGCTCTATGTTCACACTTTTAGAGCTCTATGTTCATAATTTTATCACTATATGTTCATAATTGTAAGTTCATAATGTTAGAGCTCTTTGTTCATAATTCGATCAATAATTGTACATTCATAATTACATACTGTAGATTCATAATCTCATAACTGTAGATTCATAACTCCATAACTGTAGATTCATAACTCTATAACTGTACATTCATAACTCCATAACTGTACATTCATAATCTTCGAAGCTCTATATTCATAATTTTAAAGCTCCATGGTCATAATTTTATCACTATATATGTTCATAATTGTAAGTTCATAATGTTAGAGCTCTGTGTTTATAATTTCATAATTGCATAACTGTAGATTCATAACGGCATAACTGTACATTCATAATGGCATAACTGTACATTCATAATCCAAAAAAAAAAAAAAAGTAACGCCGTTAACGGCAAAACGTGCGCGAATTTTTTTTTTTAACTAAATGACGCGTTTTTTTTTTTAAAACGACGTCGTTTTGGGCCCGTGTCCACAATTTATTGTGGACACGGGTCCAGGGCATAATTTGCCACATATATATATATATATATATATATATATATATATATATATATATATATATATATATATATATGTCTAAAATGTATAATTTGAGCTCAAGTTTGGACTAAGAAATTGGATTAGGAATATTGATGGGCCCAAACATTTGGGCTTAGTAACAAAAAGCCTTTGAGCTTAGGAAGTTTGATAGTTGTAAAAAATGATTTTGGAATGTTCATCCCAGATAGATTTTGGATAGCAAAATCGAGAGTTTAAAATAGCTAATTTAAATTTCGAGACAAAAATAATTGTTTTGAAAGTATTCACGCTAAAATATTTAAGATTGAAATATAAATTTTGTTTTTGAGAATATTTTATTTTATTAAAATAGGGCTATTTAAATATACTGGGTGTTACATACTCCGTGGTACTTCACTACCTGGCTTACGTACGCTCGGGCTAACTGTGTCATTGACCACGTTTCCTTCATGGCGATGGGCCGAGCTGTCTTAGTTAAACGATCCACAATCACCCAAATATTGCCCTTGCCTGTACGGGTCGTGGGTAAACCACCTACAAAATCCATAGAAATGGAGTCCCACTTCCCTTGGGATACCTCTAACAGTTGCACCAAACCCTTGGACCTACATCGTTCAGCTTTGACCTTTTGGCAATTCAAACACCGGCTCACGAAGTCAGCTATCTCTTCCTTCATGTTGGGCCACCAAAAGAGCTTCTTCACTTCCTTGTATAGCTTGTCACCCCCAGGGTGTACCGAATAAGGTGTGTTGTGACCTTTTTCCAGAATTTGCCATTTCAAGCGATCACAAGACACGGGGGTATGCACCAACGACCTTTGTATCTTAAACCCCCATCTCCGGATAATTCAAAAGATCCATTCTTTCCCCCGACCAGATCACTCTTCAATCTTGCTAGACCGGCATCCTTCATTTGCTCATCCGTTATCTCTTCTAGAAGGGTAGGTACGATCCTCAAATTGAACAAACGGACTTCATCTTCCACCTCACCTTGCTCCACCACCTCCAAGTTCATCTTTTGTATTTCCTTACACAGTTCATCGGCCACCACCCAAATAGAGCTGATAGAATGCTTAGATTTCCTGCTCAGCGCGTCGGCTACTACGTTTGCCTTTCCCTCGTGATACTGAATATCCAATTCGTAGTCCTTAATGAGTTCTAGCCAACGTCTTTGGCGCATGTTTAGGTCATTTTGCGTGAAAATGTACTTGAGGCTTTTGTGGCCCGTGAAGATTTTACAACGCACTCCATATAAGTAATGTCTCCAGATTTTTAGGGCAAAGACCACCACTGCCAATTCTAAGTCGTGCGTGGGATAATTCTCTTCGTGCACCTTAAGTTGTCTAGAGGCGTATGCGATTACTCTTCCATTTTGGCATCAGGACACACCCCAAACCCTTCTTGGAAACATCACTGTAAACTTCAAATCCTTCTGTTCCCGACGGTAAGGTTAACACGGGCGCCGTAGTCAGCTTATCCTTTAATTCCTGAAATGCTGAATCACAGTCTTGACTCCACTAAAAAGGAGCATCTTTCTTTAACAGTTTGGTTAACGACTGAGCCACCTTGGCAAAATCCAACACGAACCTATGGTAATATCCTGCTAACCCAAGGAAACTTCTTACTTCCCCAACTGTTGTCGATACTGCCCAATCCTTTACTGCTCGGATCTTATCCAGATCCACCGAGATGCCATTGCTATTGATCACGTGTCCCAAGAATGTTACACTGTCTTTTCAAAACTCGCACTTTGAAAGCTTGGCGTAAAGTTGTTTCTCTCTCAGAGTTTGAAGCACAATTCGAAGATGTCTTTCGTGATCCTCCTTGCTCCGGGGGTACATGAGAATATCGTCGATGAACACGATCACAAAATCATCTAGATGTGGTTTGAGGACTCGGTTCATCAAATCCATGAACACTGCCGGCGAATTAGTTAAACCGAACGGCATCACCGTGAACTCGTAATACCCATAGCGAGTCCTGAAGGCCGTCTTGGGTACATCTTTATCGGCCACCTTCAGCTGATGATAGCCCGATCTCGGATCAATCTTAGAGAATACGCCTGCACCGTTGAGTTTGTCAAACTGATCATCGATCCTCGGAAGTGGATACTTATTCTTAATGGTCACCTGATTTAACTCCCGGTAGTCTATACACAACCTCATGCTTCCGTCCTTCTTTTTAACGAAAAGTACCGGCGCTCCCCACGGCAAGGTACTCGGCCGGATATAACCCTTGTCCAGCAACTCTTGTAACTGTGCTTTCAATTCCTGCATTTCTTTGGGCGCCAACCGGTAAGGGGCCTTCGAGATGGGCGCGGTCCCGGGTACAAGATCTACCGAAAATTCCACCTCCCTTGGTGGAGGCATACCCAGAATTTCTTCGGGAAAGACGTCAAGAAATTCACGCACCACAGGTATTGATTGAGCTGCGTCCCTTTTGGCCTCCAAGTTCTCCACGGTACAAAGGAAAACCTCATGACCCTTCCCCACATACTTTTTCATCCTAATCATAGATACCACCTTGATTTCAGGTTCCACCGCGAGGCCTCGGTATATTACTCTCTTCCCGCCCGGTCCTCTTAATACGACCTTCTACTCACCACAGAGAATTTGAGCTTTGTGTTGGCCCAGCCAATCCATCCCTAAGACCACATCCACTCCGTCCATGCCGAACTGTATCAGGTTGCACAAGAATTCTTCTCCGTTGATAACTATCCTGACATCCTTGAACATACGATCACAAGACTTGGTTTCTCCCGAGGCCACCTTCACGCTGAACCTCACTTCTAAACCATCGGTCAAACCCAACTTTGCAACCAGCTCCGGAGATACGAACGAACTAGACGCCCCGGAGTCGAACAGGACCAGAGCCGGAATCGATTGCACAAAAAAGGTCCCAGTCACGACATCGCCATCCCCGGCCTGAGCTTCACTTAACGCGAGGATCTTCCCTTGAGGCAATTCCCCTTTCGAACTCTGCACTCCCAAGCGATTGTTGTCTCCGAGGGGGCGGTGCTGCAATCGCACTGGGGCTAACCTGAGTGGAGACACCACTCCTAATCCAGCGCTCGACCACGCTAGGGGTGCTGGGAGCCCCCACCAATCGAGGTTTCTTAAACGAATCGCTGGTATCGTCTAGCGCCTGAGCACGAGGGCGGGGCGGAGCCATGGCGAGACTTCTACAGAAACAACATGGTTACGGTAGGCACAAACAAATAGCGCACCCTTACCCGGCGCTAAAGACGAGAATGCTAAAACTAAACAGAAGCAATGAAACAAGTACAACAAACAACAAACAACTCACAGCTCACCATGCGTCCTAAAAGTCCTAAGTCCTAAACACTTAGGTACTTAAACACTTAGAGGCTTCACTAAACAACTTAAAGTCTCAACTTAGAGCACTAACCTAAGCTCAACTTAGGTTCTTAAGTTTCAACTCTTAACATCCTAGGCTCAAACCTAGGCTCTTATACCAACTGTAACACCCCCGATTTTTCAACACATTTAAAACTTAAATTCAAAGGTAAGCATCTAATCATCAAGATAAACAACAGCGGAAGCTTAATTAAAAACCGGGGAGATGTTATGCCACACCTATCTCAAACATAGGTGCACAGGCGGAAAACTATCATGTCAACAAAACAGAAAACGTCTAGGCACACAGGCCGCTAAACTAGGCTCACAGACCAACAAAAGGTAACGTCTAAACATGGTAGCTACTCCTTTTCTGTGTTGTTGCTGCTGCTCTACTGGTTTCGAACGAAAAGAGAGAGAGAGAAGGGAGGCGGAGGGAATCTGTTTTCCTTTGCTGTCTCTTATCCGACACAAACATATATGTATAGAATATATGATAATTAGGAAGGGTTTCTAGGTAAAAGAAATGGGTTGGACCAAAAGTGGGAGCTGGGCTAGACTATGAATTATTTGTTGGGCTTAAAATTTTGGACAATAATAAACTACACTTGGCTCAAAATAATTTATTCAACACCGGTTTTTTTGCAAAAAGTTTTATGGAGTGAAAATTTGCTATTTTGAAATTTCTTAAGAACCGGATTTATAAAACAA